ATCTGAATGGTAAGCATGAATACAGCTTTAGAAGTACTTACTCTCTATATTTACCAGGGAGTTACCATAATCTAAATAACACTGGTGCTGCTGCTGTTTTGATCACAGTGATGACCATCCAGTTGTGTGAAAGTACGTTTCCATGGAGGTTCAAACTATAATATAAATTGTCTAATTCCATAAACCTTAACAATTCTAATAAAACATTTGTTATTTTACAGTTTTGAATTTTCGTAAATAATGCACAGTGTAAAACACCAATTATACAGGCTTGATTTATTGACTGCACATATAATTTATGTCAAGAACTGAATGCAACATATGTATTATTATTTACTTACACATGATTTCAAATACATTGGTTTTAAATGCTCGGTCTATATGAGCTGTAGCTTACAACCTCCTTGTGAAATCTACTGGTGTGGTCTGTGTATGATATATATTTCAAAAGTTCCTGACAGTTGGAATGTAGTAACACATTTTTATAAGTAGAGCTTGTATGTCATAAGAAGCTTCATTTGCTCTTTTCATATTATGTTGAGGTTATACTTCATATTTAAAATATATACTTTTGTATAGCAGTAAGCAGTAAAATTTCTGGTGATAAAGTATACCAAGAAGTCAACACTCTTAAGATAGAAACATAATGATAAGTACTTTGTATTAAGTTACCATACACTTCTTTAACAAAAATCATTGTTTATCTTTTCTACATTTTATGAACAAAGAAGTAACAGCTGGGACTTAGAGTAATCTTGCATTAGACACACATCTTTTATAACATTCTGCCTGTCAAGATATATTTTGATCTATTTCATTAAGAGTTATGCTGTGTGAATGATGGTATGTAAATACTGTATGCATTTGTTTTTATGTTTAGTAGGCTTTGTAGTATAGTGCTTTTGTACAGTTCTTGAGAAAGGTATTGTATAATGTGTTTGGACAAAAGAAAGGTTTTGTTGTATACAAATACTGTTGACAATAGCACACAGAAATGTTGATCTTCTACCAGTGTACACACTATTTTTTAATCTTTGTAGTTGTGGGAAGACCGGTCAGGAAAGCTAGCAATGGCTGGGGGTTCGTCATGCTGACCACATGTCACCCTATATCTGGTTGGATGATCGTTCACCTCTGCTTAGGCATGTGAACGTGAGGCCAGCAGTCAAGCTAGTTGGCTTTGGCTCTCTGGAGCTGTTATGCTACGGATTTAATTTTTAGTTGAGGGAAGAATTGCTCCCATGGTTTAGTTTTTTGGGAGATATGCATGCTCTTTCAGACAGAGAAAATTTGTCTGTCTTATGTATACTTTATTTGGTGGTATGTGAACAACATATGAACAAAATTTGATATTTATTCTAGCAGCTCAGTTTGTTCTTATTTATGGTTCAGTACTCTCTATTTCCTTCAAATTAAAACTCTTACAGTTTGTTTTTCAGTACTACCTACAAGCTGATTGTATTGAATTTAATTTAAAACATTGCAGAATTGTGATTTCATAAATTACTGAAGTCTATAAAAAAGATACATAATTACTAAATACAGTTTTGCCCATAAATATGTCCTTTCTTTTCTCAAGTGTTCCGAAAACCAGTTTGTCCATTGGTCATTATAATTTAAAATATATAATAGGAATATAATATGTACAGTTTTTTACAAATTATATTACACTATGCATTATTATAGTATATATTAATAAAACTGACTTTTACCATTTTGTGCTTTAAAAACCTTGTAAAGTGTAACTGTGGTGATACAACTCTCTTAAATATAAATTACAATTATCATTTCTGCCTTCTCTTAACTTCAGAAGCTAACCTAGTAATTTAACTTGCAGGAAAAACAAGATAGGAGTGGTACAGATCAGTACGGTCCCATGTGATTTCTAATGGGTTTCTCTGTATACAGCAACCAGTAAAGTGACTGGTTACAGGCTGGATGACCAAGGAAGTACTTGGCACAAGTGGGAATTATTTCTCTTCACTTCCATGCCAAAACCAGTGTGTCTGGGTTGTAGTGGCCAGATTGTGAAGTTGACCACTCACTTCCGTCACTGATGTTAATAATATACAGTAAAACCCCTCTAGTTGGACACCCCTTTATATTGGACACTTTTAATTGGAACCGGCGAATATCCTATAATTTTACATGTCCACAACACCCTATATCTTGGACACCTCTTTATCCTGGAACTTGAACACCCCTTTTGTTGTAAGTTGGACAGGTTCATGCACTTAGCTTCAATGCTTTTATGGGAAACGTTTACAGTTAGTATTTTGTTGCTTTGAATTTATGACTTATGAATGCCTTCTACCTGAGGATTACCTTATGGTTGAAGGTGTGAGACTTTGAATACATCAATGGAATTATTTTGTTGAACCCTTCACTGGACTACAGTAAGTATTACTGGTACAGTTTTAACTTTGTCAGTACAATGCTTGCAACTGAGTTAAACAGTGTTAACAGAAATTGGAACGGTATGCTTTCGCTCATAACCAAGAAGGAATGGTTGAAACTTTATTCGGATTGCGGCAAAAATTAGAAAGAGGATGGACAAATTCAAAGATAAAAGCAAAAAAGCAGTGTTTTGTGACGGACTTTTTTACAAGAAATAAGTGACATCATATGTTGAGCTAATGCCTTAAGTACAATTAAAAAGAATACATTCTGAACATTTAAAATTTCATTGAGGCTGGGGTGTAATGTGCAACCACGAGAGTGGGTTTCAAAAGATTATTATTATTGTCATTAATTCTTAATTCAAGCAAGCCTACAGTAGTTAGATTATGTAAGTAAAGCGATTACATTGTCGGTAAACGTAAAGTATCAGTGCTCTTCCCTTTGAGCTTATCCATGCAAGTTTAATTTACTGAAAACAAAATTTGTAAAAATTTAATTTACCCTTTTGATTTTTCTTATCAATAATTTCCTTTTTGGGAAGGGCTCCATAATACTCTACAATTACCACATTGTTATTACACGACAATTTGAAAGGATGATTTTCCCCTTTCCCTCTATCCTGGACACCCCTCTAAGTTGGACACATTATCGTGGAACCGCAAGTGTCCAAGTTAGAGAGGTTTTACTGTATATATAGCTTACCTTCACTTGCTCATATGTCTTCATGGCATATTGCTTAGGCGAAAGGACAACTTGGTATTTTTACAAGAGCAGTAAAATTTGTGTATACCTTTCCTTAACCTTTATAATACTGTAACAGGAGATATACATTCATACAATGGGGCTGCCAGCTGCACTTTAAATATCTGGTTATAGTTCAGTGGCATGTTAGTGGGACACACACCCAAATGAAGTTTAACTTAATACCAAACTTCAAGTTCTGGCACTACTGTTGTTACATCCCAGGAAAGATCTAACAGCATAGTTTAAGGCTCTGAAATGATCTGTAAGGAAAAAAGGAAGAATTATGCAAGATTCCTTGCCCCTCACACTGCTTATAATATTCTCATCTTTTCCAGATACTGCACATGAAGGAAAGAGTAATAAATCATAGTATATTGATATTCTTTATTGTGTTACGTTTAATGTTTCATTACAGACTGATGACATGTTGCAATTTTAAAGCAGCATTTTGAAACTGAAGGTATTTGATTATTGCCAAATATGAACTCAAGGGGAACAAAACACCACCTATATATATAGATCTATAGAATACTGGTGTATTATAACTGTACAAGTGAAATTTCATACATCTGCCATTTGTAATATTTTGAAAACACTGGTTTACAATATGACTACTACGTTCTGTTCATAACAAACTTCCTGAGATTATGACTACTGTAAATTCCCACATGGAATGCAAAACTCATATCTACTGCTTAACAAATAAGAGACACAACAGCTAGTATGTTCCCCCCCATTAGAGCGCATAAGATTATTGCTAACAGTACACTATAAATCCAGATTAAACCATGCTGTGATTATTTCATCCACTTGTCAAGTGGTCACCTTCCATGAGTAATTCCTATCATCTTTCTTGTTTGCCCTATCCAAATGTTCAGTCCATTTTAACCTCACTTATGAATTATCCTAAATTAAGCCAGTGGAAAATACAAAGCATGAAGTGTCTTCTCTTGCATTAGCACTGTTTTTAAATATCTGTAGTCCCTTGTTATTTTTTTAAATAACAAAAAACACCTGATGTGGCTGGTAGTCCAAGAAGAATTCATTATACAGAGACTTACTTCATACCCATTTAAATGGGTACATTCGTTTTAAGTGTTTTAATCTTCAGTTTTTTGGCTAAGAGACAAAAATATCAAGATTTCACATTAATAAAATGGAAGAAAGCTACCTGCATTTTGTTTGGCTCAGAATATAAAACTATTTGCTTTCATATGTACATAAATTAATTTTCTTATGAAGGCACAGTATTACCTAAACTGGTAGGTGAAAATACTTGTATGCATGCTATATTAAAAAACATTTTGTCAAGATTACTGCAGAAGTTGGATTCATAAAGCATACCACACATGATCACGTTTACTACTTGTATTCATCATTACTTTAATTTTGTTACTTGATATTTAAATATAAATATAAAACTTGAAGCAGTATGTGTGACCTACAAATTTAAATACAAGATTTGTTTGTCCTTATGGCAATGAAGAGTTGTTCTGGGTTGTGACAAGCGTGGACTTATTGGAAAATACCAGCAATTCAGAGAAACAAAAGCCAAGTACACCAACATATAGATTTGATGATCTTAACCTATATGAGTAAAAATTATTTAAGTTTTAACTTTCTTGTAAATATAGAATCTGATTCTACTTATGTTACAAAACCACACAATAAACTTGCAAAGTTTTCAAGGCTAAGCATCTCAGAAGACAGTGTTGATTGAAGGTGTAATACATTCTATATAATTTAATACTGACATGACATTCATATCTTGCACAAGATTCTATTTAACACAAAGGTTTGGACATGGTGATTGATATCTTCTCAAATTCTTCTGCACAGATTCTGAAACCATTAATAAGACAGACATGAGAATGGACAGTATTCAGACTAACATAAATATACCTGTATATATACAGACTAAAGCTAAAAGCCACCTTTAAATTTAAATGATATGAAAAATTAATATTTGGAGTTTATATATTTAAATCAAATATAAAACACTGTTGTGAAGAGTAAGTGCTACAGTGAAATAATATTGAAGTAAAACTGTGGAAAACTCTGCCAACCTTTCTCATACTCATCCTATCAATGGTCATAACAGGATCTATCCTGTGGGCCCCTACCTCAGAAATTGATTCCAGATTTGTCTGGGGTTGGCAGAGGCCAGTAAAGGTCATCATTCATGGGAGCATTAATCCACCAATGACAAGGTCACCAGAATTTGCTGAATCTGTGTTTGTATGTGTGTACATGTCAAAAGAAATAGCACTTTCTTAGAAGATGTATGTTATTTTTTAATTAATAGATTCCAGTACTAAGAAATCTTTCAAGTGGTTGAAAATATATGTATTTTAATGTTATTTCAGAGTGTGTAACAGAACATTGAGTAGACCCTTGATATACCGAGGGGGGGAAGCATCAACACCCATGTGAAATCATTTATCAAATCTTACATCCTGGGGGGCATGATCATACCTGCAGTATATTGAGGATATACTGTCTTTGCCTCTAAGCAGAGGAGTATTTAACAATGTTCATACAACTCTGTAACCTCTCTAAGATATAACATAGGAATGTAAAATACAAGGAGTTAAAGCAGTGTGATAACAAACAGGGCAGGTACTTTACCTTCATAATGACTACAGTAAGGAAATGTTTGCTTTTGTATTTAATACTCTTGAATTTGTTATTAAACACAATGTGCATGAAATGAATACACAAATGGCTGGTTATGTCTGACCATCTGTGTCAGCCTTTTATTGAAATACCAACCCTCCAGCCTAAAGGGGAGACGGATTTGAGTCCATTCATCTGATCCATCACAGCAGTCACATATTCCATCATTGACGTAACTCGACGGAACGGATTCTGGAACACCACATACACCTTGTGAATAAATTACAAACATTTCATAGTTTGAACTCTCATAAGTGGATTCGGCCTAACGTACCTGAATGTCCAATATTATTTTGGGTATCACAATAAAATCTCCCATTCTGACAAGCACTTGTTCCTGGTTCATCACTGCCATCAAAAAGGCAATCACAAAAATCGTCATTTACTCTTGAAAAGTCAATTTCTTCCCTGGTATGGACACACACAAAATTTCCTCGTTCATTAGGTGTGTATACTGAAATGTCACTTATGTGAACTCCCTTTAACAGCATGTTCTTTTCATTCTGGATGACTTTACTATAACCACTGTAATTTAAGAATTCATCATCACGTGGGAAATCCAAATATGTCATTTGATAGATCAGTATGAAAACGCCTATTAAAATTACACTTAGGACAATCACTTTCAGTTTCGCTCTATACAAATATTCTATTATACATTTCTTACACATATGCATATTTATTTTCCTCCCTTTTGATATACCGTGAAACGCAATTTAGTATGTTCAATACACAGAACGGCGAGATAAGAATATTCGTATTCGTCCATTCTGGACTGGGTATCGCGATGTATATCTCGCGAACTGCGAGATGGCGACACGTTCACCATCTATATAGTTCTAGATCTGTAGCTGTTTAGTTAATGAAAGGCTGGAAGCTGTCGGAAGTACGTTGGACGTTGATATTATGAGTGAAATTGTATTCGTGCACTACGTAGGGCCACAGAGTATGGATATCTTTAATTCGTGATATTTTTCATGTATGGAACGCTGAATTGTACGGTTCATGAGTGATGGTTATTAGCGGTGGATGGTATTTTTCATTTTAGTACAGAAGTGACAGGCTGTGTAAGAATAGTATATATTTGTGAGTGTCTGTGTTATATCAAAACTAATTGCAATGCACATATTACATAGGCTGTTGTGTTAGATATACACTCTCTAGAAAATGGGACACTGTGATAAGGTAAGAAAATTAGTCTGCATTTGTGCAGTAATTTTAATAAAAGTTGTGTGGCGATAGTGTCGTCGAAGCTAATTTGCGTTCTGCTTCTCTGGCTCGTAAATTTACGTTCCGTAATTTAGTTTTTAGGAAATTAAATAGGTATGAATGCATATAATGGTTTAGGTCAATTCAACGGAATTTTACTTTGATGTAATGGCCGTAGGTAGGTAAGTGAACAGATGACCATGTAAATTCTGATTATTTAAAAACCAAAGACACTATTCCAAACAGTGTGTTCATATATCTAGATGAAGTGAATAACCGTATATTTGTTGCAGTGTTTTAATACTGATATTTGCCCATTTTTACGGTTTTCATACATCAGATACTTATTTATTAGGGATTATAAATAATAATCCCTAGAATGTGAGCACATATCACTTCCCTTGCGGCATTGTTTTTATGACTAAAATTGTGGAGCTGCAACAGGAGGGTTTCCTGTGCACTGAAGTGAAGATGATGATTTGTGAATTGTCAAATGAATGGAAATAGCATTGCATGCATTATCTAGGCAGATGTTTTATAAAAGCTTTTTATTATCACAGAAATGGGTAGTATTCAGTAAAATAACACTTTTATTTAGATATTGAATTATTTGTGTGCTCATGTTTGATGTGGCATTCATGATGCTGGAATTCTGACATTAATTACTGGAAAATGCCCTGAGTTATTTGCTAAGCAGCTGAGGATAGGGACCAGTGGTGGCCTTTTGTGAACATGGTAATGACCCTTCAGGTTTCATGAACTGTTGAGAATTTCTTGAGTGGCTGAGTGACTGTTGGATTCTCAAAAAGGACTCGGCTCCATGGAGTAAGTATTTTCTAATCATCGTAGCTTTAGTTGATCCAGGTCTATCTATGCCTGGTAGTTCCTTTAGTGTCAGGGTGCGATCCTGGCACTTTAAAGAAGTTATGTCAAACATAGGTGGCATAGTCTCAGGGCAAGATGGGTGTGAGCACCTCATACAGAGTTTGCCTTTCCAGAAACTTAGAGAAGTTTTGTGGTATAAAACACAGATGGAGTTTTATTTAATTTCTGACATCTGTTCAAGGTGAAAACATCTGTAAGTATTTATTTTGTGAGATGTATATTGTTTAGTTCTGTATTTAAAAGTACAACGCTATCAGGGACAGATTGACAGTTGTGGGGGGCCCAGGGACAATCAAAATATAGAGGCCTCTAACAGTAACAACAAATTTAGGTAATATTTTAATTATAATAAACAATAATTAATTATAAATAAAAAGCATTATGGCAATCTGTTTTGGTTTTACCTTTTTGTTCATATTTCTTATAATAACTAAAAATACAAACTAACATTTTGTGACTTTAGAAAAGCAAATGTCTCAGTAATATCTGTAGATTCTATTCCACAAAGCAAATCACACTCACTGCTCAGCAGTGCAAGTAGTGAGAGACTTGTATTTTATGGAGGCCCTTGGGTGACCACCCAGGTCACTTCTTAAATCTCCCCTCAAGTGCCTACATTGTGTATAGTGGGACAGCTTTACTTTACTACTTGTAAAAGTGATGTAGTTTAATTTGCAGCAGTTTGAGGGCAAGAAAATGTGAAAATGACATTCCAATATTAAAATACTCCTGCATCTTAATAGTACACTTGCTTGCTTCAACTCAATTTGAGGATGTAAAATTATCCTTTATTCTGATGAATGTTGTAACCAGTTGTAGGACTCTCTGTGAAAGGTAACTGAAAGAATTAGAGACAGAACCAGAATTATGTCAAGCTTCTTGCATGAAGAAGGAGTAGGAACTTCGATCTTGACAGCTGCATGCAAGAGTGCCAGTCTGTGGATTCTGTCACTGTAACCAGTGAGGACTTCATTCCAGCTTTGTAGCATGCCAGTGCAATATCTGTTTAATCCACTGCACCAAGTATCTTATAATTGAATGGATTAATATTTTCTGTAATATTTTGTTGTATATTTTTATGTAAACATTCTACTTAACAAATCTCTGTTCAGAGTAATAGTTGTTAAACTTTCAATTGGGATAAGTTCCAACATTACTGTCATTATCACCATCATCACTACCAATTATCTTAGACTAAAAATGTGAAAAAGAAAATATATTGAGTAACCAGAATGTGGATTGATGTTATAGTAATTAAAACAAGATCTTTAATGCTTTTGTAAGTAAGGAAAACCATTATTGGTAGCTTTCTAAACAGACTCAGAAATGCTTAACATTAGAACTTGAACATCCCGATTATAAAATGTTTGATTCATGTAACTAGTCATCCTAAACTAATCTGACTTGACATGACCTAACACAACCAAACCTGACCACATATAACCTAACCGTACCTGACGTCACCTACTTCATTCCATAAATACGACCTTGGCATTGCGACGACGCCGACATAAGATTTCGAACAAAGCGAAGATGAACTTCGGGATACCATAAAAGAAGATGCTGGCAAACCAACGCCGAGCACCGCGACCCCTGTCGCTATGATGACGACACAGGTCGAATCCAGAATCGCAATGTCTTACGACACAAGGCTGACAGCACGACGCCGACGTGTATTCAAATGAAACAAATATGAACCTCAGGACGTCATGTGACGCGATATTGGCAAACCGACGCCAATATGTTTTGTGAGGTACATTTATAATATCCTATAAGTCTGTATGATAGAACGATAGTTCCGCTTAAATTAAATATTTATTTTGAAGTTTATAATTAATGCAAATAAATCTACAATTTTTTTAATAAAATTAAATACTGTTTGCGTTGGTTAGTTAATAGGGCTTTTATTAAATTACCATAAAGTGTCAGTGAAGTGTTCTGTATAATCCGGCAGCCCTCAAGCCCAGCGTTTCTCAACCTATGGTACGTGAACTAAGTAAAAAAATCAGAAGTTAATATTACCATAAACAGTTTTCTTGAACGCATTTGGTTAATGGTACATTTAATGTGTTAAATTAGAATTATTGATACGCCCCGCGAAAAAGGTTGACAACCCCTGCTCTAGCCTATAAGGCGAACGTGCCCCTGACTTTAAAAGTTGCGAACTGCTGGTCTAAAGATACTTCAGAAATACATCTGCTTGTCTTGTTACCCGTTTTATAAAATTCGGACTACCTTAGCTGTGTTATTTTATAAAAATATTCGTATTAAAATATCATTTACGTTATTAGGTGTTTTTAAGTTTTTGCGTAAGCGAAGAGTGCCATATGGGCCTGCTTATGTCTTGTCTATCGATTCTTTCAGCTGAATATGTAGTGACATCTGTCAGTGGCCCTACAAACCACAGTATGAGTCATACAAAAACTCGACAACTGAATTTTATGAAATCCGGTATAATGATTATGCCATTTAAACTTTTGCCACAATAATTCTTAATTTCCTTCATTCGGTAATACTAACGTAACGGATGCTCAGCGTTGTGAAGTAAAACAATAGTGACGCTATTACATATGGTCCTATGCTCATCACGCTCCTGATGATATCGCCCGCCTGTAACTATGTCATAACTGGAGAATGGTTGGGCGGTTTTCCATCACATTTAATGTGGGCGATATGCCATTGGAGGCTTCTCCAGACTCGTTCCTTTCAATTTTCTGAAATTGGTAATACTAACGTGACGGATGCTCAAAGTCTTGAGGTGGGACGGTGAGGACTCCATTACACATGACTCTTTGATGATGTTATCGCTTGTTGTGATACTATTATTTGTGATGTTCGCCTGTACGTATTTAATATCTGGGAAGTAAGTATTCGGTTGTTCATGACGTTTCTTGTCATATGACATCGGATCCTTGTCCAAAATTGCACCTTTAATTTCATTCAGTCAGTTTTTCTGACGTAACGAAAGATCAAAGTCGTCAGGTGATGACGCAATTACCGGTGATCCTATGTCCATGCCCTACGCACGGTGACGTAATCACGTCACGACATTGACCTTGGATCACATTGTCTCCGCAGTGAACTTTTTACCATTGCTGCGTTTGTCACCATTGTTACATTTTTTATTCTCTGGGTTGCCTTGATGATATGATACAGTGCCATCGATGCCCATCCGTTTTCGTGCAATAATTCAAGAATGACTAGACGGATTGTGTTTCGTTTTTGTTGTGGCCATTGTGCCATTGGTGCCTAATATAAGATGGCAATTTTTAAATTCCTTCACTCGTTCGTTTCAGCGTGACGGATTGTCAAATGCGTGAGCCTGGAGGTTGATGACTCCATTAGCCACGATTCTCTGCATGTGCGCGATGACGCCGTCGTCCGTGATGACGTGTGTGCATGAAATGTGACGCAAATAACTTTTTAAATTTTAGTGTACTTCAAAGTGTTTACGGCGATGTGATCAGCCTCCTCCCCCTTTGCTTGTGTAGTGTCGGAAGTCAAAGAAATTAAATTCGGGATCACTGCACAACCCCTCATTGTACTTTGAACACTGAGAGTCTGCCCTACTTTCTTTCATTGAACGTAATACGTGTGGGTTCCGATTTCTTCTGTTGGCAAGTGTTCGTTTTTGTTGTAGTTGAACATGGTTCGTTTGGTTGGTGGAAACGACTGGATGTACGAATAGGCTCCTGCCGGAGATAGATATTAAATTCCTGTTTGATAATTTGCAGATGAGGCTGCTAATGGAATTATTTTGTTACGCGGTACGTGCTAAGAAAGTATTAATTTGGCAAGGTGTGAACTGACAAATGTTTTGGTACTCCTTCCAATTGAAATGTTCTTTTAGAGTTTAAAGAAAAAGGAGGCTGCGAGTATTTAGCCAAATCGTAAGTTCCTCCTAATTTTGTTGAGTTACTGTTCTCAATGTTTTCTTTATACTCACATAGGTTTCTTCAAATGCAAGCCTACATTCACCTTTCTACAATAAATGTTATAAAACTGCTGATTGTATCGTAATTTATTTCCACTTGAATAGAATCTTTGGATTTACGGCACCCCTCAAATGTATTATGGATTTGATAATCATTATTTGTATTTGAAGGTTCCTCAATGGTGAGGCCATAACCTATAATTATTATGTGAATCTGGCATTGTACTGGATACTCACTTGGTGTTCTATAAACCAAGGCAATAATTGTAAAGGACTGGTAGTCAGTGTGAGGGACATCTTTTGTTAGTCCGTGGATGCTGTGAAGTAACTCCTTGAAAGTGATGTAACTCTGTGGTAGTCAATGTCTCATTCAGTTGCATAGACCAGTGGTTGGCAACCTGCGGCCCAAGGGCGAAATATGACGTGAACGTTGTGCCATTGACGGCCACTTCAACCTCGTACTTTTCAACTTCCCACAGTGCGTAGTGGCAGACGCACTAACTTGTGATGTGAAAACACATTGTGATTTTTTTCTAAAACACCCTCAACATTTTTCTTCGAATTTTGTCCCCTTATAAAGAGCAAGGTCTCTGATACAGACGCATTTCCATTCCCATTATTTTGAAAGAGAATTTGCTTGAATTTCCTGTTTGTATGGTCAGTGGACATGAAAGAGGAAACAAGCGTAAACTAATCGTGACAAACAGTTTAGTATTTTGGGATGCCTGTACACAACATCGAACTTACCTTGAATAATAAGCAAACATAACCTCACTTGTCATAATGTAACATACGCCTGGCCTTGGAATATGTTCGCGAATAGAATACCGTAAGACGTACAGTAAGCAGACAGCACTACCCAATTTGTACTACGTACTTTTGTAGTATAGATACGTCACACGATCGTTGTTCATGTGAACCACCAGGAGCAGTTTATAAAATATGTATACTTTATTATAATGGAAATTCTTATTAATAAATCGAGTTAGACACATATAAGCAATTTGAATCACAAAACTGGTTGTTCTGAAAAGAAATAATTGCATACTGGTATCTGTTATAATTCGAATTACATTTTTATTGACGTTGCGTATTATTTTCCTGCCGTCCGAGGATTGGTGTACAAGCTCATTATGATATTTCGTCTTGCATTCTAAGTCCATCCTGAGTCTACGTGTTCTGTCTGGAAAAATTTAATTAGTCTATTATTCTGTAATGTTACCGTTCTGTGCCCTATCCGAACAAGCCCACTTCTGTAAAATGTCATATCAGCAGACCGTATATTGCTTTCGGTTCTATTTCTCAAAATCCAAGTTTTACTTCCATAGAAAGGAACTGCCAGTGATTTATAAAATCTTATCGGTGTGTCCTTGCTTCATTTTTGATGTAGAATCGTTTGAGCAAGTCCACATATTTATGTGTCTTTATATATTTTATTGGTAATATATTCGTAGGCTTAAAATGATACTTTACATCTCAGACAACTGAAATGTGATATTTATTCTAAAGTCTTGTCGTTAAGGACGATAACTGTTTCAACAGGATATTTTTATCTGAATGTCATGATTTTGGTTGTATTTTTTACTTGTAAATATTGTAATGTTTCCTAATTTTGTGGATTGCATCTGTTGACTTCTGAACTCATTCTCGTTGAAGTGTATAATTATCAGATTATCTGCATGATAAAATTCCGGTATTTAGTTACTCCTTTGCTTGTTTTATTGTACCATTTACTTTGCTCATCAAATTCCTCAGAATGTCGTGTGTATGGGTGTGTAAATGTGTACACTTTTGTATGTATGTTAAAAAGACCCGGGGATTAAGAATGTAATACTGCTTTTCTTTGTTATTTAATCCCATACCAGTTTAAGTTTTCAGCCTGTTTTGTCGATTTCAATCAGAAGGCACCACGTAACCTATTTCCAGTGTATAAACTATTCAAGTTGAATAATGTCTCCGTGAACCGTTGGATTTCACAGCTTTTCATTTTCTACGGGCTATCCTATAAGCCACACATCCCTATGTTTGATGGTAAATATTTTGTTGGTGTGTTTGGAATTTTCAATTTTCCGTGCCCAGTGGCTACACTGGACTCCTGTCACTCACTCCACGATGTCGGTAGTTGGTTTGACCCAGTTTCTTCGTATTCCCTGCTCTGTTCTCGATTGTTTGTGTAACAAGCGCCATGCCGTTTTCAGCAGCGCAGCGTGAACATTATTTTCTAATGCAGTCCTATGAAGCAGTAAACAGGCATATCAGGTACACTGCCCCGATTTTACTGTACCAAATAAGTTAGCCATTTTCGATTCGTAAATCAATAGTGCCACTATTCTTAGCAGAGTTCCTACGGATGTCTTGAAACTGGTTCAGTAATGCTATGTATAATAAATCTGACATTCACCTTTGTGTTGTGTTACTTTTAGGCCACTGTATATTACACATTCCACTTGAAACTATGAATGTTATTATTTATTTATATGTATTTTGTAAAGCACTTATTACATATATAATCTAGATTCTATGTTATATTCGTTGGATATAGCCTTTCGTTAAAGTTTCTCACCGTCGCC